ATTAAACTATCAATGTAAGATATTGTTTATGAATATGCATGTAGCATGTTTTGGAGTAATATGATGTAATTTTAGAGAGGGGTTCTCTCAGTTTTTGAAGAAAGAATTCAATATATTTTGTTATAACAATCTTCAAGGTAAGTCTTTATCCTTATGAATTAGTTTTTCATAGGAAAACTATTGTAGATAGATAGTTCGAAGTATATTACCTATATATGAAAGACATAGATCCTTATTAGGTTGCATGTGCCCTAATCTTTAGATATATTCTCCAGACTGTAGTTATGACGTGACGCTAAGGGTGTCACGACATGACCATGAAAGGAGCCCGCATCTGTTATGTCTTTTGGTGCTCACGACGTGACAGAGGAATGTTCACATCGTGAGGTTTGCCTAATAGGTTGCACGTGATTGATTTGGCTGAGTTGGAGCGAGTCCAGTTGGAATCGGGTCGGGTATGCTCTCACGACGTGATCAAGGGCTGGTCACGACGTGAGGATCAATGGTTGACATTGATGGCTGTTGACTTTGACTTTGACCATTGAATTTTGGCATGGGTTGACTTTTGGTCAAATTTCTATCTTTAGAAGGTAGACTAAGGGTTTACCTTTTGTGGGTTTTTAGGTGTTGTTTAGAGCCCATTCCTTGGCTAGGGGAGATCTGATAGGTGTGGACAGCATGTCATTGAGCTGAGTTATATTCGACTTTGTGAGTCAGGTGAGTCTTCTCACTATACCATGTAAGCAAACTAGGTGGTGACCCTTGGCAATTATATGACAGACCCGGATATGGCTCCCGACAATCTATATGCAAGACCAGGATCTGGACCCTGACATTTATATTTAGTATCCTAGTTGGCTTTGGGATGCTTGCATGGAAGACCACGAGGTGGCTTTGTTGAATCTATCTGCCCAAGAATCATTATGGAGTGATATTGCTAATAATATATGATCCTATAGGGTCACACATTTATCAAGTTGGCACATTTTGTATATTTATTATTAATATGATTATTAATAAATAATATCAATTCTTGTATTATAATTAGGGAATAATTATTGTTTTGTGATAATAATAATTATAAGAGAGTATTACTAGTTATTATTTCATATTATATGAATTAATAAGTCATGCACAATATTTTGGACTAGTTGGATTCTTTTGTCTTTTACCTACAGAAAAATTTTATATTTTATAAACTTAGAGTTTATAAAAAATCAAAGAATCTTTCTTATTTAATAGGCATGGCTGAAAGTTGATGATGGTATGGGAGGTTGCTTGTTAACCTTCCTCCCTTTGTCTCCCATACTTCTAAAGGCTACAATTACTTAAGATTTTTAATGGTTAGGCCTTACTTTGCATGGACTATATAAGAGATGCATGAGGCTTGCAATTTTGTGTGTGTGAAACACTTCTTCTTCTTCTCTTTTTCTCTCTAAAACCGTGGGCATGAAAAGGGCTTGGAACTCTCCTTCTTTTGAAGATCATTCAAGTCTTTGGTGGTTCAAAGTGCTTCTCCTTTAGTGCTTATTTGAGTTAAGCACTTAAAGGCTTAAGAAGTACTTTATACAAGAAGGAACTAGCATTCCAAGTACCTTAATCTTGATGGTGGATACTTGTAGAGAAGATCATGTTCTTTGATCTTTAAATCTTTATCAACACCCCAAAACCAAGTGGGTTCAAAGGCTTCAAATGTTATATATAAAACATCCTATGGTTGCTTTTATTTCATTCTAACCTCTATAAATGGATCCATGATGATTTGGTTTTGTTATGAACTAAAAATAAAGTTGTTATTTTTTAAAGTCTTTCGTTGTCGGTTTTTGTGAAAAACAAACTTATATTTCGTATCAAAACCCAACAGTGGTATCAGAGCCATCTTTTATATGTCAGAATGATTTTTTTATGTTTGATAATCTTTGGTTTTTGGAAAAAAAAAGCATGAATTTCTTTTGATTATAAAAATCCATATTTGTCTTCTTTGGCAACTTCTTGGTTAAAATTGTTTATTTTTATATATAACAATTTTTCATGCATTTTGGTTATATAAAAATTGCCTTAGAAAAAACAAAGAGTTGTTTGTTGTAATATTTTATATGTTGTTGTGTATAAACAAGCCATTTGGATATTTGTGTTGTGTTTGGTTGATATTTATTTATTCATAAGATGTAATAAATAAATAGGTATTTTTTCATTTGTTGACTTGTAATAAATTAGTTAGACTAGTTGTATTTCTTTTTAAATGTAACAAGATGAAGAAATGACCTCCTTGAAGAAGACTTAACCATTTAAGACCATAATCTCAACCACAAGCTTCTACTTTTGGTTTTGAGTTTAATTACAGTCTTAATGGTTTAAGTGTTTCACAACATGAAGATTTGAAGTCCTTTTGTTAGCAAGAGTTGACTTGGCAAGTGGGAGCTTGAATACCTTTTGAAGTGTCCCTTAAGTCCTTTAGGAAAGACTTAATAATTCTTGTGATGGCTCACAAAAATTATTACTAGACATTGTTTGGTTTATACACATTAAAAAACATGCTTGTGATGTTTATTTTATGTTAAATGTATGTTATGTTTTAAAATGGTTTTTACATGTCAAATAACATTTTTTTCATAAGATAATATCACTTGGAGTTTGAGTAAAAAATATTTAAAAGATAACATAAGATGTTTATAAATGGATATTTATAAAAACGTTTTACCGGTTAAAACTCAATTTTTTGATGAAAATAGTTTTATTATAAAACTTATAAATACCCAACTTTAAAATATTTGAAATGGTTTAAAAGATGTTTAAACTTTATATAAACTTCATGGCTTTATAATAAATAAAGAGTTTTTATTAAAAAGACTAAAAATCGGTTTATAACGTTATTACGTCGAAACTATAATACTAGTTATTATTTTTTCGTCGAAACTTAATATATGATATTATGTTTTATGCATGCTAAATGAGATTTAAAACATAATTATGATCACCCAAGTTTTGGTTTATCAAAATATGACTTTTATCATAAGATGCATAAAATTGAATTTATAAAATAAAATGAGTTTATTCTACAAATTCATGAAGGTATAAGTTTTTTGATTGTTAAAAGGAAGTTTAAAATAGTGATTTTATAACTCATCCAAACCTCTAAGTCTTAAGTATAAAATAAAGTTTTATTAAGACTATTACCGGTTTTTAAAACCGATCTACGACTAAACTTTAAAATACCGGATTTTAGTTTATAATTGATCGCGGTTAATGGCAAATAAAATGAAGTTTTATTTGGCACCAAAAGAACCTCATAACAAGTGATATGAATTTTACAAAAGGGTACTTGAATTGTTAGATGCATGCAATATTCATGAGACCATGTTTTTGAAAAACTATAATAGTAAAACATATATAAAACCTTTTCTAAAAATGCAAGTAAGTCATTGCCGTCCTTTTGAAGAACACTCATTATCATTTGAGGGTTTTAGCATCACGGGGTCACCTGGGCCTAGGATTGGATTTTGATGTTCGAGGTAGTTTTGTAGTTTCTAATTTCTAAAGGGTCACCTTGTTACTGGTTAGTTACAATGCTACAAGTTGCTTCAAGTAGGATGACTTGATCAGAATCTTATGTGATAAAGGTCGCCTAAGCAAGAGAGGTCCGAGACATAGATGGGATAAACATGACAAGCTAAGAAATAGTTGTTTAGGATCCTGTAATCTAGGAGTTACATATTGTATGCAATTGGTAATCGCTACCTGCCGAGTTTGATTAAGTTTATGGGATAAATGTCACCATTTACTTGTTTTGTTAATTGGATCCTAGACTTTAATAAATTAATGTTTTAAGAAACAATAAAAGGTATTAATTTTTAAAGACTAAATATTGAAGATACTAAATGAAACTTTGTTAAATTCTGTTGATAACTGTGAATAGTTTTACGCCCTGCAAAATCTCTCTCTTGTTGAGTTTTAATAGATAGTAACATTTGATGGTTATAATTTTTATATCTGGTATAATATGTGAGGTTCTACCTTTAAGATAAATTGAAATTATATATATTGAAAGATCTCATACCTGAATAACCTATGCAACCAATTATTCTGATCATGATACTTTGATAGAAATATTATTGTGATGATATTGATGTGTCTCACATCATACTAAAGAAATTAACCATCACTTGTTGAAAGTCTTGGATAATTATGAAACATATCAGATGTCTCATCAAAGTAAAGCAGATATTCAATCAGAACACTAGAAATAGCTTCAAGTCTGTTCAAGCATTAAATAAAAGGAAGTATAAGAGATTATGCACTCATATAGACTTATAACTTAGTTAAGGGAAATACAACATGTGGACTAGAAGGCGACAACACACGTGGTAAACACTTATGATTCATGGAGTCTGCAGGAGCTATAGACGTGGAAAAGAAACTGTAGGGGCCATAAGAGTTAAATTGGAAAAAGAGGTGTGGCAAAAACCTAAAACAAACAAACTTCACTATTAATAACTTGGATCTATTTATGAACTTTTAAAAAGGTTTTAAACAGTGAGGATTAATTTTTGTATATATAACATAATATAATGTTTATATGTTATTTAGTGATTTGAGATGATATGACAATGTTATGACGCTCCTTTATTGGAGGGTCATTGAAAGATGCTTTAAGGAATATGACTTGCTTGAAGTATATTATCTTTAGTTTGATTTAATACTAAAACCATTCAAAATTTGTATTCGTTAAAATTTCTTTTTATCATATATTATTATTTCATTGGCAATATTCTTGTTTTGACAAAACAAAGTCCAAATTCAAACATTGATTCTAAGTTCATTGCAAATGCCACATTTTATTATAATAAGTATAGAACCAGTGACTACTGAATAGAAGACCATCCCTAAACTATTGGACACACACGCAGCTTGCTCTCTTCAAACCTCAAGCATCTTGAGACACAGAGCACCACAAACTTAATTAACTGGTAGATACTGCATTGGGAATACTATTGTACTAATTAGCAACTGGGAGGTCTGTTATCTTCATGGCATCTTAGCACTGGGGAATGGGAACCCCACAAGTGCTGGCAACCTTCCTTGCGGTAGGAGACGTAACATAGGATCTCAAGCTTGGGTTCCTGATGTACCCACACAGACATGGTTTCTGCTGTTTCAGCTTCGCGCAGCACTGCGCAGTTGGTGCAGATGATGATGTGAACGCCGGCAAACATGGAGACAGCTCCGTCACTGAGCATGTGGCCGCCGTTGCCATCTGGGATCCGGTCAAGCTCAACACCAGAATTACTACTGCAAAAACTGTCGTGCATGCTGCTGTCCTCATTTCTAAATATCTAGAGCAGAGTGCAAAGAAAGAAGGATGGGTATGGAGGATATGAATTGTCTAGCGGGATCTCTTGCATTAATTTATAGAAGAGGCATACCCCACCAACGTCGCCCTGATGAAGCGGGTATAAATGCATCCGTCGGTAGAAAATGTTTACGTATAACAATTTCGGTGTATTTGACTAGTAATTAATGCAGTTAACGATTGGTTGGTTATGCATTTTTCAACACTTGGGCAGTACGACTAGATAGCCGTCGGCAATTAATTTTCCACACAACGTTGCCAAAATGTCTTAATTGGACGGTGACATTAGTCTTTGAAACTTTACCTAATCTCGTCAATTTTCCATGTTCAATTAACATAACAAACTTCTAACATATTATATATTAGAAGTTTATTAATTAATGGTGTAGAAATTAAGTTCCAAGTTTGTTGACACTGGTACAAAGAGGTTTAATAATGTGTTTATTATTATTTGTTGATGTGGGTATCAACTGCACCAACAAATATCATATCATAAAATAACATTCTTTGTTGATGTGGTTCAACAACCGTATTAGAAAACGTTGCAAACCGCCTTATAAAATATCCGGGTAAAATATACAAAGCGCACCAAAAGTTAAGAACCGTTGTATTAAACAATAGCACCAAAAAATACAAAACTGCCCTATTAAAGTATAACACCAACAAATATAACCGTTTTACTAAAATATCGCAACAGAAAATAGAACTTGCACTATTAAAAATAACAAATCATTAAACAAATTACCACTAATAAACAAAAACGTACTATTAAACAAAAACCGCACCATTATACAAAAACCAACAATTTTTAATTAACTGTTTAGTTACAATAAAACACAAAAGAAGCGCAATCATCCATCTCTTCTCTATATATATATTAAAAGAGAAAGTTGACGACATCACTTTCAATAATCAGGATCATTCATTGTGTTTTCTTGATTAATTCCAATCCTTAGATCATTGTGATGATGTCATCCTAAAATAAAATAAAATAAAATTAATATTGATTAAATTTGAAAACGTGACTAACTGATTTAATGTTAATATCATTTATAAAAGGAATCTAGTCAACTTATTTAAACCTTATCATAATTTTTGAAAGTAAATTTCGTTCTTTCCTAATTAAAATCACGTTCTTATCTGGCACATTTCATATATTTTTTCAATTCACATCTATTATATGAAACGTATCTACAAGATTACGGGATATCGTCGCTTAATTTTAAATAATCAAAGAATTCGAAATTTGATATCATTTCCATAATCATTGTTGAAAGTTTTGTATAAATCATGTGCTGGTGTTCGTACATTATATTTTCTTCATACCCTTTGCAACATCACGTTCGAACAACATCACCCTTTGCAGCATCACGTTCGTCATCCATGTTCCTTCTTTAATATGACGTTCTTAATATTTTATTAACTGTATTCGGGTTTTTGATTCTCACTAGTGTTGTATTTGACTGTGATCTTTAAATGGATGAATAGTCTTGATTATAAATGTTAGTATTAGTTTTTCAATCTTTTACTTTTGTCTTTTTAACCTTGCATTTGATGTTGCACTCTACATGTTTGATAAAATTCCCATGAGAAAAGTACAATGACTTTTGATTAACTGTATATATGTATGTGTGTCTTACGTAATTGAATTTTTATGAGACTGTTTGAATTCTACGTTAGTTGATGATTGAAAACTACCATTTACCCTCCAGTGTTTTTAATTATCAATATTATGATGTTATCAATTTGACACATTTACCCATAATTCTTGGGTTTTAACAGATTTAGTTAATAGCAATGTACTTTGACTTTAATCTATAAGGTTTTGAATTGCAATTTTTAAATTTCTTTTGAGTTGTTATAACTGTGTTCACTGGATATAAAATGCATTGTAATTTCTATTTTGTTTTTAACATATTTAGTTAATAGCAATGTGCGTATGTGGTTTTTTTTAATTTAATGTAACGACGTAAATTTTCAACCCAAATTTTTCATTTTAAAACACAATAAATCACATGTCACATTTTCTCGAAAATCACAAGTATCAATTTATCAACACATTTCAAAATTATCTTTCCATGGTCCATTAGGAACCATAAAGTACACTTTTAACGTGTTAGCACAAGTCTCACAATAGTTAATGCTTACATGAGGACGAAATTTCCTAGCCAAAATGCTAGTTGTGACATATAAGGCTCAGAATGCCAATATAACTCTAACAGGGATGATTAACCACAATAACTCTTCTATGGTTAAACAAAACTATAATCTTTGGACTCTCTGGACCTCACAAGGTCCAGATCTGAAGTCTAGGCCTCAAGAGAGACCTTATG